CCAATGCAGAGGCAATCTTTTTGCAAATGTTCTGTATATGACATTCCCAGTTCATATTTTGATTGATGTGTACACCAAAGGATTTCGTAGATGACACCTGCTTCACTGGATGGTCATTTATACTGAAAGAAGGAATTTGAGGAAATGTTGATAACTTCCAGCAGAAATGACTTTCATGCAACTGAAAAGAGCAGGGTTGGCCCTTAAAAGAAAGCTGTTTAATTTAATTCTGTCTCCTCTTATATCCTTCGCGTTCGCTCTCTGTTTGAGTCTGTTGCGAACTCGTTGTGCATGAAGTCTTCATCGCCGTTTACTTCTTTATTGTCACTTTTTTGTCACACCGCCTCGTCTTCAGATTCCATCGAGAGCATTGTTAATGCTGCAAGACTTGAAGGACTGCATGATCGACTCCACCGAAATTTCCTTCTGTGTCCAGTTTATCCACTGTTCCTTGCCGAGAGGGCGCTTTTTCATTGATGGAGGGTAAAAAACGGATCGTTTCCCATTCTCGCCTGATACGGGTTTAGACCTTTTTCTCGAGTGGTTTGCTGATACACTTATCAAGGGGCTAGGAGAGGCCGCCAGGAATCACAGGAACATCGACCTTTCGTCGCACTGGCAAATCTTACACGGGTTCGGTCAAATGGTCACGGAAGGAATCCTCTGCTGAAAATCTCGTATTCTAGCAAATCCACTATTTCGCAGCTCAGATTGAAAATGAAATTGACATTAAGAGTTGTTGAAAAAGCTGATGTATCCAAAACTTTTCTGAAAAGTGCGGCCATTGTTTTAGAATCCGAAACACCGATGCGATTGTAAACAGCTCCGCTGAAAACCAGATGCACGGTAACGTGAGACTTGGCCATCTCCTCTCAAAATGGCGTAACGTACCCTTCTTCCATTTCCTGAAACTCAAGATTTCCCTGAACTTTTGTGCTTAAGTACAGAGATTTGGAGATTTCACCGCGTGACCGCTGACCGCTGACCGCGTGACGCGTGAACTTCTTTTAGAAAGCAGTAGACACAAAAAAGTTTCCAAAAGTAAACAATTGAATAACTCAGTAAACAATCATCTTATGGGTAAACAACTGGAAAAACCCGCCTTAAGAATTTAGGAATTTTCGATTTTCGTTCCCGTTGGGTTAGCAAATAATTTGCTGAGGAATGCCAGCAATGGCGTCCTCGCGGCGAAATATAAACAATTTCGAGTCGGATTTTCCGTTTTTAGCGATTGAGTTAGATCAAAGTAAAAACCGAAGTTTCGAACTTCATGTGAGGCCTAGTGACAATTTGACAATTCCACGGCCCACTAAATATTATATTTAAATGAAGATATGTCAGAAATGTATTTTTTAATAGAAGTGTACAACTGTCAGAATTTTCAACAAGAGGCTACGCAACTTCTGACTGTGAGGTCAAGTAAGTAACGATCTGTGCATGGTGAGTCATGAGATCATTTCGCACACTGGAAATATTTGCACGTATACTCTGAAACACGATCCGATTCACTCACGAGCGAAAAATTTGGCGATTTTTCTTTTCATCTTGATTTCTGAGTAAAACTTTAGACGTATCTATCGTTTTGATCTTTGAAAATAAGTTATTTGAATGGAAAAGGCAATTTATAAAAAGTGACTGTGCATTATGTTTACCGGTTTCTCCAAAATTTTAACATATCCATAAGCCTGCGAAACACTCAGTGTCAATTTGCCAATGAAACTCAAAGTTTGACAGGCATTTAAAGAAGAGGAAAAACTTAAGACAGCCTTTGAAGGAAGAGCAAAGCCAATCCAACCTTTGAGAGATTCGATATCAAAGTTTGATACTATTATATCTAAAAAGGTCACTTTACACGTGCAGCTGCAATAACAATTGGTGGCATTAACACACTGTTTCATCCCCCACAAATGTAACACTGAAATATCTCTTCTCAACAAAGTAATTAAGTGCGGATGATATTGAAAGATTGTGCAAATCATGCCATGAGTACCTGGTAAAAACTGAAGTTCCAACAGGTGATGCTCAAAATGGGTCACAGTTCCCAGCAAAACCTCCTTTTCTTGATTTACAGCTATTATTAAAATTACTTTTTGTGCCTGGTCTCAAAAGGCATTTCCAAACCCCCTCCCCCCCTCCTCCCCCCTCCACCATCCAAATCTACAAACATCTGGACTACTGTTTCATTTATTTTGACCCCATGCAAAAGTTTCTATTCAATTCAGGGTTGTAAATTCTGAGAATTTTTATGGGGTTTTGAAACCGTCAATACCACATTTAAAAGACCACTGCAGGGAGTTTACACAATGTTAATGCTTACTCTGACCAACTCGGTTATTGTGGTCGACGGGCGTCTAACGAACGCACCGGTAGGTTTTCAAAATTCAATTGCTTAGCCAGTTGTGTCTGAAATACATGAAGAACTGACTTAAATAACAGTAATGTACGACGATAACAAAGCAGATAATGTAAAACCAAACAAAGAAAAGACAACAATAACATACCTGACAGTTAGCCAGGATACTTGTATGAAACGACATACAGACACTCTATAGAAAAATATGCAAAGGTTGCGCGAAGACTGGAAACTAGAAAACCGCTGAAAAACCCATTTTGAATCCTGGTCAGTTCTAGCTACAAGGGGGGGGGGGGGGGGGGGAGAGGGAATTCGAGAAAGTTATGGAAACCCATAATTTTTGTCTTGTATTTAATTTTATACAGTTTTCCTCGTCGTAAGCGATGCCACATTATCTGACGCAAGCCGCTGTACTACCATGGGTTACTTTTGCAGAGCTCGTAAATGCAAGACTGCTTTTTATAAAGCATTTCAGAAAGACCCAAGTGCAGATTGTGGGTAGGTGGATTTAAAGAGTGGCGGTTCTTAAAGATGTTTGTATACGGAATACCAAACAGCTGTTACAACAAATCTGTTGAGCTATGAGTAGCATTTTTTTTTTCAGGTCTAATTCATTTATGTAGTTTGTTATTTCCATTCGCTATGCTCTTCTCTATCCTCAGCCATCCTGATTTCTTTTGGTTGGGTATTGACTTTTTTTAGTTTTCCCTTTTTCTACCTAACTGCTCTTCTCTCTTCTTCCTTTTTCGGAATTGAAGACAGTTTTTCACGCCGCAAAACATACATCATAACGTCACGGCTCGACTTTTGACCATGATGGTTTATGTCTTGTCTCGACAGCGCGATGGTCAACAAATTGAAAGATTGTTATTTCGACGTGTATAAGTTTTGTATGAAAGACCAACTGAACGAACCCAAGCTCAAACAGGAAATTGACGCCAGCGTGAAGAAAGAAGAATATTGTGACCGAGTTGATGTGGAACTGCCCACCTCGCCACCTGACAGTGACCATTGTTCTGCATCATATTACAATGATGCAGAAAATTGCCATCGATCCTTTCGACAAAAATTTATCAAGAACAAATCAGATCTCGCTCTTTGCTCGTAAGTTAAATGAAAATGCCTTTTACATCGCTGATTGGAAGTGGAGAAATAAAAAAGGTGGGGGGGGGGGGGGGGGAATCAGGCAAGCCAGTGCCAGTTTTTGTGGCTTTACTATCCTTGCTTGAATGCGATTTATGTTGAACCCGACTTTCCACCAACTAGGCAAAAAACAGAATACCTTTCGAACCGGGAAAAATACACAGCTTTTTTTACACCGCTTTATTGCATAATTTTTCGATTTGAGTCCGTCGTGGTAAACCGCTCCCTTCTCCTCCCTCCACGCCACTCGAATTTTGTCAGATTTCTCTGACAGTTCACCTGTATTCTTATGTATTCCTGATTGGGTGAGAGAAGTGTGAGAATTAAGTGTATTCTTCAATGAAAACCCACAATGACCGACCCTAGGGTCGAACATTTTACTTCCCTCTCTTTAAAGAAGTCAGCACGCTTAACAGTGTGCCACCACTTTACTCTTTAGAGCGCTTTAACTTTTTCAAGTAATCTCTGTGAATAATTTATTTTATTAGAGAATACGCCAAAGCAAAGAAGTGTTTAAGGGACCTGACCGATTCGGACTGCAACTACTCAGCTGAAAGCAGGAAAATAGCGTACTTTGATCTGGATGTCTATAACCCTTTCTGCGCTGACAATCGGGACCCTGGGGCGACCAAAAATGATTCTTGTTATGGAACCAAGCCTAGCGTATTCGTGCTGGATAATGCTGGTGGAACCAAGCCTAGCGTATTCGTGCTGGATAATGCTGGTGGAACCAAGCCTAGCGTATTCCTGACTCTGATGTTTGCTATCTTTCCGTTTTTGTTCCTCTTTAAAGTTTAAAAGGCTTAGGCATCTTGTTTATCTTGATTTACAGTAGAGTTTCTACTCTTATGGGTTTAGCTTGAAAAAATACAAAACAAACAAACAAACAAACAAAAATCAACAACAATGAAGTAGCTTTTTTAACATGATCAAAGTAGCGCAGTTCACGTTAAAATCTGAATTAGCAACAGTTCTAAAAGTTGTGTTTCAGTAAAATTTTTGCTTTCATGTTTTGTTATCTTTCATTTTTCTCCTGATCAAGGCCAGACCACAACAACGGGAACTGCGTTCCCTACTCTTCGCTTGAATCGCGTGAGTTCTTTAACGTCTCCTGCTAATCACTGCGGAGAAGACGCAGACCTTTTTGCAGGTGTCATAGCAAAGGCACCAAAATTTTCATTAGTTATTTTAAGACCCTGAGCGTGTTGGTCCAGTCTGGGACTTGAACCCTTGACCTTCAGCGCGGCAGTACGGTGCTCTACATCATGAGCTCACTGAGTACAGCCGGTTGGTAGATGCGTAACAAGCAGAGAGTCTTTCTGAGGTGAAGTTGAGACCCCCGTTATTTTTCCTTACAGTTTTAACTGTTTTCCTCGTGATTTCATTTCGACAAACACCTTTTTAATCCCTGGAAACAAAAGGTTGTCTACGTTTTGACGTAATATAAACCTATAGGTTTTCGCCGTGGAAAAGCGCTTGTAAACGAAAACAATCGTAGCAACTATTGGACATTTCAAAATTGTTGTTTTATTCCCTTTTTTTTTTTTCCTTAGTTAGGGTTTCTTCATCAAATTTCATATGCTTCGCGCCAACTAAGCGCGAAAGTCTGCGGACATTTCATGTGGAGGACAAAATTCACAAAGACTAAAATTCTATGTACAGCATTCGCTATATTGAATAATTGTTTTTTTGTTTGTTTTTCATGGTTTCTTGGCCCGCCATGACTGGCTGTAAAGTTCGGGGACGAAGAGGCATGGTCGAACAGGATTCTGAAAAACTTTCGGCATCAAAAATCCAACAGCTTTAAATAAATGCAAGTTTCGACATGTGACAGAAGAATTCAATAATTTTAAATACAAATAACTTTTGAGAATGGCCTATTTTAAATAATATGACGTCTTGTTCTGGTAACAAGGGGGAAGGGAATTCAAAGTGATACCTATAAACTAGATTTGGTAAAGGGAACGAGAAATGTTTTGACTGTCATCTTAGTGATGGCTGCTTTAACACAAACTCCGTGACTTTCTCCAATAGTTCTATTGTGGGACTTGTCAAGGGAAACTTGGTGGAAAGTTTCTTCTTTACCACTGGCTTTCTAATGTAATATCTGCAACATTTAAAAGACAAGATAAAAAAAATTATTATGGCAAAAATTCATAAGGGATTTGAAGATTCCCCTCTCTATTATGCCTTGTCCTTTACGCCACCCGAGGACACGTTATTGTTGTTCAGTTAATGCACTAGGAAAAGAGATAAGATGGTCTTAAGCTCTTGAATGAGCACGATGACCCATAATTTTTACTGCATAAATTTGGTGTGTAAATTATCCCCTTTAAATAGAAAAAGTAAGACCTTAAAAGCAACAACTTAAGGAACTTTTTGAGTCGATGTGGTTCAAAATTGCGCGATTATTCCACAAATTATTCATCAAATTACTCAATACGCTTTAGAGTTTCTACCTATCCAGCTATTTTCAAGTATTACTCTAAAAACCCTTGCTTTTCAGCAGCAGCAAAATTTACCGTAACCGATGAAATGACGCGCGTGATTAGTGCCAGGGACAGGCTTAAATGGGGTACGTTTGGCCCATTATATCTCTTAAACAGGCATGGTGACCTATCTTTTTTACAGTATTTTCAAAACACATATTGGTGGGGAACATGCAAGAAAACTTAAAAAAAAAAAAGAAAAGTTCGATAACGTTTTTTTCTAACCTTAAACGGAAAGATGTTACGTAAACCGTTGGCTATTTATGCTAAATACTCCAAAAACAAAAAAAAAGCTCTTTCAACAAAAACATCCAAAGAAAACTTGCTGGAGCAGAAATCAAAAGCAGAACCAACTGCACTAACAGACTACAAGAAGTCCCTGCTTTTTGGCGAAGTCTGTCCCGCAAGTAAAAAAAAAAAAAAGAAAAAACATCCAGAGTTTCGCGCGCCAATTCTCTTTCTTGAGGATTTCTTTTTTTTTCTTTTTTTTTTCTATTTTTTTTTCCACTGGCGCTACGGACTTCACTGAAAAGAAGAAACTACTCGTTGTCCATTATACTAAATATCATACCTAAATTCTTCTGCATATCCAACTCGGATTTGATTCGCAACCACTGTACCATATTCGAGAAAGTTTTTAAGAACGTAAAGTTGTCGATAAAGAAGAACAGCATCAGCGGGAGACAGATATCGACCGGAAGATAATACTAATGACGTTAGACGTTCCATGACCCTTTGCACAAAACATGTCTGAAAAGAGAAGCAAAAAATATCAAACTTTGATTGCGACCCGCTGCCGTTGTCGTCGGGTAGGCCGCTTTTAAGATTCCTTAACTCTCTATCCCTCGGTGACTAACAACTCATTTTCCTACTAACAACTCATTTTCCTTACATTCTCACTGCTGAATCAAATATAAAGGTCATGAAAATAAATGAAAAGATCACCGACTACAGAAGCGCTTGATTGCTAAACAAATTCTCCTTATCAATACCATGGGAAATGTATAGAGAAGTTTATGGAGAATATGCAGACTGATATTAGGATGTAAAATTTTCTGGGGATTAAGATACACACTAATCAACAACTGTTGGTAAAAAACCCACTGGCGTTCTATCGCTAGTTCTGCCTTCTGATTGGCTAATTGAACCTACTCGCTCCTAGCATACAGTATGCACTTGTACACAAAATTAAAATTAAAAGAAAAATAACACAAAACTGTCTCGTTTTAACTTATAAGATTTGGAAGACTGGAACAATCTCTCGACAATCAGGCGACGGAAAATTCGAGTTCATAATCTAATTGTTCAATAAAATCGGCCTTGGTCGTGTTCTATACGGACTTTCAGTTGTGTTTAGTCGTGTTCTGTTTGGAAACACACCGTGTTAGGTTTGCTTGGTGATTCAACTTTTCCAACCGGCACAAAAATTTAGTTGAAATAACTTACGAGCAGGCCCTCATAACAAGCATGCGCATGGGCGGGAAACAATGACCTTGAGCAATGCGGGCCGATTACAGGTCTGAATGGGGTCTGACATTGATAACTAGTACCAGACCCCCGGCAAATCTCCCCCCGACTTGGCTGAAACCCTACCGGAAGCGGAAATAAAATAGCGTCTTGCAGTGCTCATTATGGACGCCTGCTCGCAAGCTTAAGTTGAAACGATTCTTGTCCATGAAATGACTACAGGATTAAAGTTTGGAACAGCAGGTGCTGCACGCGATGCCATCCCCAATGACAGACTGAAAAGAGGGAAAACTGATTTTTGCACGTTCTGAATGCAATCGGTACGAGATTAGGGAAGTGTGTCCACCCATCTTGAAACAAATTGCACTTGAATTAACTTTAAAATATTTGGTTAATGATTATGTCAAGTTTATTTCAGTTTGTATGAAAAAACAACTGATGATGCTTGGGCAATCTTTGCTGCATGTATATAGTTGCGATTTATATAAAGAATTTTTTCTGCAAATTTGGAATAAAGAGCTCATGCATAACAAAAACAAATAGAATTATCGAATCCAAATAGAATTATCGAATCACCTGACCCCTTCAAATGTAAAAGTAATTTTTTGTAAGACCTTGTGAAGTACTTACAGTTTGTTCTTGGGTTTCGACAATCTTCATGAGCCAATAAATGTTTAGAACATTGTCTTCTACTGAAAAGCAGTTGGCCTGAAAAAGACAAAAACAAAACAAACAAACAAACATCAATAATTAGAAAGTTAATGATACACTCTCAATCTAGTTACCAGCCACCGCCCATGTTACCCATTAAACCCTAAGAGTGACTAGCATCAAATTTCTCCCCACAAAATCACCCCTGAATCACACGTTAAGGTCATGAGAATAAAGGTAATGATCACAAACGAAAGAAGTTTTTGATTGATAAACAAATTCTCTTTGTCAGCATCTTAGGAAATGTATAGAGAGCCGTATGGAGAATATGTATACTGTAAAAGGTTAAGGAAAATTTTCAGTAGAATGTCGAAAGTAATTCAGGCTTGCTCTGGTGATGCTTTACTGCGCTCTGGTCAAGACAACTCGCATCAGTCTCTCAACCAATCAGACAACTCGCATCAGTCTCTCAACCAATCAGACGAAAAACTATAACTAATCTCGACTTGACCGCTCGCGTTTTCTGAGCTTCAAGTAAGAAGCAAAAAAAAATTGATCAACGACGCTTCGCCAAATCAACAAAATATGATATGCAAGCCTAACCTGGCGTACAGCACACATCAGCTCAAACAGAAGCGAAGTAGCATTGTCCAGAACCTCTTTCAATAATTTGTCAGTCTAAAAAGCAACGGAAAGTATACATTATTTATACAAGCAGGGGTTTCATGACTGGGCATCCTAACGAGAATTTTCTGGCAAAAACTAAACACTAAGCGTAGATTCCTTTATGTTCCATGCGAAAGTAGGCAGGTACTGACACTGGTGTATGTGGAGGTCCCACCTTTCTATTGAAAACCCAGGAAGAGTCTACACAGAACATCACTGTCAATGGAACCCGAGATAACCAGAGTACTACACAAAACTTAGACCCTGATAAAGAATTTCTAATAAGGAGCTCTTTTCGATTGGGTGGTCGAATCGAGGGAGCAGTAATGCCATACTATGTTCTGATTTTCTTTTACACTTTATTACCACTCAGGTCACAAGTCACCAGGACGCGCTTCAGTAGTAGTACACCCTGGTAAAGGCATTTGAAGACAAAAATCCTACCTCTTTTTCCCTATCTCCCACTGTAAACATGTTCCTGTCAGCTCCCGACAACAACAGCTGAGCTGCAGGAGAGATGCCAGCTGGTTGCTGTGATGTGGTTAGAGGATGAAGGACAATGCATTTCAGAAGCTCCTTGATAGCTTGTCCTCTATATAAAGAAAGCACTTCCGCTGAGTTAGTGTCTGACTATAAACAAAGCCGTTACATATGCGTAGAAATCTTACTTTGACACACTAAGATATACTTTTTTCTGCAATTGGTAAAACTGCAGTTCATCTGTGTGGATCATTTCTTTGCTTGATTTCTATACATTCGCAGATCACATGAAAATTATTTAATAATGCAAAACAAAACTACGCGCATATTTTGACCGGTTCTTTCAACTGTACTTCTGATCTATAGGAGGATAAACGCCTAGATGACGTCACCACTAACTATTTTTGGCTTCTTTGTAACAAACATATTTCATTTTACCGTGGGTCTGTGCAGTAAGACATGTACAGATGACGTCAAAATGTGGTATGAACATCTGAGACACACTCGGCTGCAGTCACAAAAGGCAGCATATTTCAGATTGGCTGAAAACGAGTGCATTTCTTTGGTAACACGAGTGCAAAATTATAACACGAGTAAAAAAGAGTAAAAATAACAAATAACGCGCGCGTTGCCAAAATTTCGTCCGTCTTGATTTTCTGTGATGCATTTTTCATGTATGTTACTAATAAGAGACAACATGATTACTCGTGTAAGTTGGTGCATGTAAGCCTTATAAATTTTCAAAGACTACAAATTACATTCGCCCTACGGGCTCGCGCAATTTTGTTATCTTTGAAAAATTAACTCGATTTACTCGTGCTTACCAACACCAAATTGTACGAGAAATCTTGTTACTACCTATTCTAAATATTTGAAAAGTAGAATTATACACGAATAGATTCCATATTGCCGTGGGTATGTGCAGTAGCTTGCAACTTTTTTTGTTCTCACCAAAATTTGGTTGTCATCTTTGATATTCTACTGAAAAGACGAACGCCAACATGGAAGCTGTTTTTGATTATTTCATTAAATAAACAATACCCCCTATTTGGCGCGCAAATATGCACGGATATTTATCCAGGGTCACTAGCAGTTCTGAGATGCGAACTGTGAGCGTCGAGGAACAGATAATGTCCGAAGACGAATATAAAGGCATATTTTCCGCAAACTAGAGGCTATCGTGTTTACCATCCTTCACGCGCGTGCCTACTGCATGCAGGGGTGGGATGTTTTCTTTTGGGTGTTCTCTGGTATAACTTTAACAACCAGAAAAGATTTACCTTCTTCTGTAACAACCGCGAAATCCTCTCTCATCCGTTGTGGACGTAAGGTTTGAAATTGGGGAATATCACTTGGGCAATACTCTCGGATATCACCCAATTTAGCTGGGGAATATTCGGTCACAGGATGTTCCTAAACCAATCATGCGTGAGCAAAAATATTTGATGGACCATAAACGTTGTTATACAGCAGTCACTTACACTTCAGATGCCGCAGCATCAACCACTTACTTGTGAGCTTTGATGACCATCAGTCGAGTAGAAAGAATGTCTGTCTCACGAAACAGACATACAAATGTCTGCAATAACACCACAACAAAGCTGCAAATGAACAAGAAAATTGTATCCAAACCAGGACGTACACAAGCTTTATTCCAGAGGGCGGGGTTGCATGATTTCAGCAAGTCAAGAAAAATTGCCGCATCAAATTTGCCTCTAAGCGTCAAATGGAGTGTAATTAATTGTGTCCAAGGATAAGTACTCCTTTCACGCAGTATTTCCTTTTTTTTATTCGTTTTGGATGGAAAGTTGGAAAGTATTCGCAGGAATAACCGACGGCAAGATCAATATAATGGTTACTACATGTATATAAAACTCACTTCAAAATTGCTAGCCTTGAAAATCTCAACTGCCCTTATCGTTTTGCAGCTGTCTAAACTGTATGTGTAGATATGATTATACACATATATACATTTTTTTAGTTATCCTATATTGGAGCCTCTTTCTTACAAAGTAGCCCCCTGAAACTAAAAACTTAGGTCCACTGGGCCCTCTTTGACTAAAATAAACCGTGAGTACAAGCGCAATAATTCACCGGAAAAAAAAAAAAATCCGTTAATAAAGTTCATCCTTTGTTATAAGTGACTGAGTGGGAGGTCATGACTAACCGACCAAGCACAGCGAGGTTCCGGCGTCATGAAAGAGGGTCAAATACGATGATATACGGTCATATGATAAAAACACTTACTCAAGCTCATCCTCTCTGTTGCTTCCTTTCTTTCGTGATGATGATGATTGGCTGCGGGATTGCGGCATATACCGCTGAAGTTGACTCACCATGAACAAAAAGAGATCTGGTGACTAAAAGTTGTAACGCATTCAATATTCGGCGGCAATAATGCAGATCAGATTTCGTAAAACAGAAGTGGCAAAAGGGGACATTATGCTGCGAACGCCAGACAGAGAAGACGATTACAAATGTATGTGACACGTGGTAGAAATACGCGACAATGAAATTGCGTTATATCAAATCGCCATTATGGATGCCAATCCAGTCATACGATAGGTTCATTTGTATTTTATGGTACAAGATACTCCTCTGATTGATTGCATACCATAGTGCCTTCTTATACTACTAATAATGTACATGAAAAAAATTCCACGCTTTTGATTGGCTGAAAACGAGTGCATTCTCATGTAAAACGAATGCAAAGTTGTAACACCAGTGCAAAGTTGTAGCACGAGCACAATTTACCAATAGCGCGCATGCTTTCAAAATTTCGTCTGTTCTGCTTTTCTGCGATATTTTTTCATGTAAGTTATTGACAGGTAATAGCATGATTTTTCTTGCAATTTGGTGTACTAAAAATTGCACTTACCCTACTGGCTTATGCAATTTTGTTGCCTTTATAAAAATTTATTTGTGCTTATTAACACTAAATTGCACTCCAAATCATGTTATTATCTATACTTAGCCTAACAGACAACAAAGTCAAAATTGAAAAAAAAAAACAGTTCATCAACACTTTCATCATTGAAACCTACCTTCCAGAAGTATTTTTTTAAGTTGAAACTCTTTTCTGCTGCGGTCAAAAGTTCCTGAACAAGGATAAATGTCTTCTCCATGATATGAGATTGAAGGATTTCTGTCTTCAGCTGATTAAACAAGTGCAACAACTGTGAACTAAAATGAAAATGTGAATCAAAATTTTTGTGCAAAATTAAACTTTCACCACATTGTTATAAGCCTCAATTATTACATGTAGCTATTTTTAGCTTGCAGCGTAACACATGCTAAAACAGAACTTATGAAATATTTTCTCTTAAGGTCACAGGGTATTCCAGCCAGGTGTTTTTATCATTTATCGACAGTAAATACCTCTTACTAACCAAGTTCAAGGTCTCTACTGAAAGTTTCTGACCAAGTTTCTTCAGCTCAGATTTGAGACCCAAGCATGAAGCATGCAGGCATCAATTAGGAGAACCCATCTTCCAATAAGTAGCCCTACCTCACTTTCTTTAAGCCAAAATTTTAAAGAAGCACCTGGGTGCTTATATAAGGAAATACAGTATTTGACAAACCTTCTGTCCCCACAATTTGAACTTTAGATAATTATTGACAGACAGTAATACAAGCTGTACTCACTTGTCAACTTTGTTAAATCCAGTTGGTGATGTTGGCGTGGAACTCCTTCGACCATGATGGAGTGTAGATTTCTAGACAGAGGGAAGCAATCAAGTGACAAATTCATGGCCCCTATGAGTGGCTAGCATCTAATTTCTCCATACAATTTAACCCACTGAATCAGGCATTAACGTCACTAGCTGATCACCAACTAAAGAAATGCTAGATTTAAATTAATTTCTCCTTACCAACACCTTTGGAAATGTACAGAGAACAGTATGGAGAAAATGCATGCTGATGTTAGGTTGTAAAGGGTCAAAATTGATGACATAATAAGAGAGTAACACTTGTATTAAAGTTAAATGTAGAAATATTTCATCATGTGGACTTACATGTAAGTTTCAACAACAAGATTCACAAGTTCTGTCCACTCATTGAAGCTGACAAACACAGAGCTGTCAACATTAAGCCTTTAGCCAACCAAAACCAAAGACATGTGTGCAATTTTTAAATGGCTACTTTCACCTCATTTTATTTAAATCCCTGATGAAAAATCCCTCAAGTATTCCACATCTCTCAAAGAAATTTAAAAAGCAGTCATTTCCCAGTTTGGAGGGGAATGAAATGGAAAATTTACTAAAAGCAGGTTTACCAGTAGATGACTAAGAACTAGAACTATGTTCAGTTCAATATGCTTGAAGGTTCGCGTAACCTTTTAATAATCACTAGGACATTAAATTGAAGTCCCAACACTTGCACAAAACCTGACAAAACTGATGCTATACTTGGCTCCACAATAACCTGGTGGTCCTCAATCTCTTAATTGCCTCTTACTTTCAAACTTACAGTAAACCTAAATACAGTGCATATGAAGAACCAATTTCTTGTGGCTCTTTCACATGAAGTTGGCTAATATGCCCAGTAGCTCAAACTATACTGATCTGACTGAGCACTGTAGAATTATCTCTGCTTAAACCTGGTTTTTGTATGTAGGATAAATCCCAGACAATTGGCGTTTTAACTGTTTCCCAACTGTCGCGAATTTTCAAACAAATGAAAACTTGATATGGTACAGATACTGACTGTCTGGGAAAGTCAAACATCTCCCAGATTTGATCAGGGATCGATCACGATATTTGGAAACTTCAGTTTTCATTGTTGGAGAAGTTGGCAATAGTTTTACAGTACCACTCACATATGTGTTAACTGCACAGACAAACTTCATACGCTCAGATGCAAGATAGTCAAATGCACATTTGCAATTTTTTTTGCACTTGGAAAAAATGCGCAACTCCTGTGTCTTTTTAAGCAAATGAAGTTTGTTCTTCAGCATTCTTCAAATGCACATTTGCAATTTTTTTTTGCACTTGGAAAAAATGCGCAACTCCTGTGTCTTTGTTCTTCAGTGCTGTAAGTTTTCTTTGTATTACATTGTTGTGTAAAATAAAGAACTTTTAGCTTTGAAAAAGCTATGAGTTGACAACAGAAAATTTGCATAATGAAAAAGGCTATCACTTTAAACTCACACATGTTGCATCACTTTGCGAAATTTATTGCATAACGAGCGGTAGCAGTAGATCTGCTTGATTTGAGTCGTGATGAATCAGAAAGGAAGGAAAATGTCACTCCACAAGGTATCAAAACATGTGAAGTATTTAGTGAGTAATGAAGCAAATACTCACTAATAATTTTTTATGCTTCCCAATTCATTCATTGCAATCAGTCCTTTGGTAGCTTAGCTGCAGACTAGCCCTGAGTCACAATTAAAAAAAAAAAAAAAAACATGCAAAAGAATGTGGTACAGACATCTGTTGATCTCCAGGTATGTCAGCAAAATCTGGGATGGTTAGGAAACAGTAAATTGTCAATCACCAGGAAATTTCTTGATTTTGTTCATCAGCACCTACATTGATAGCCCATGTAGTTGTAAATACACACAATACATGCCCGCATAGCTTACTAAAAGGAAAAAAAAAACTTACCAAAATGCAGTTGTTCCATGTGCTTTTAAGATGCATGTACATTGGTGATTTTTCAGAAAGGATATATAAATCCATTTCCATCAATTCAAAGTTGTTGCTAGAGGAATCATTGCTCTCATCATCAGAATAATAGTCCAATTCTCCCCCACTGTCCATGGAACCATTACTGTCACTACCATAACGACTCCTTCCATAGGGGGAGCATGCCCTGTTTTGACCACTAGAATCCACTGACTTTTGTCTGTTAAAATTGTTTGATGTACACTGATATGAAATCTCAAGTTCACTACTGCTGGAGCTACAATTCAACTCATCATAGTCATTGCTAGGTTTCTTCTGCTGTGAAGCTGTCATTTTCTTTATTCGCTGCTGACCAACATTTCCTGATCTCAGTCTTGCACCTGAGCTTGACTGCGTGATCACTGATTCATGACCTGGAGGAGGCGGTGGAAGAGGTCGTGTATTTCGGGGTGATGCAGAAACAGCACCAATATTATTAGTTGACCCTGAATACAATTTGCTGTGTTCATGCCTTGGATGTCGCAGATCAGGATCTGAAGCACTTAAATGAAGTCTGTTTGTCTGTACTGAAAGATGTTGTGTCGTGATTGGCTGACTTTCCACACGTCCCATTGATGTTTTAGATTTAAGGTTATATCCCACTTGCGGTGTTGAATCTACTCTCAACACTGGAGATGTGCTGAGAATGGAAGAAGTTTGGAGAGCTAACTTCAATGCTGAATTGTTTTCACTTGAAGGAATGGCTACTGCTTGGCTTGATGCTGTTTGCTTAAAAATCTTTTTATAAACTAACAGAATGTGCTGGTTCTTGGTCTTTAAATCTCCCCCAAGAAATTCTGCAACATCATGGATCTGAAAGAAAACCAATTTTGCATTGAAGAATAATCTTCATTTTACTCTTGGAAAAACCTGTTTCCTGACAAACAAGTTCAAGTACAGTGTTCTTTCATCATTTATTCCAAATAGCTCATGATACAATTTCTTTTTTAATTTAAAATTATACATAAGCATTGTTTCTATCTCATGATCTTCAATCATCTCTAGAGAAATTGGAAAAAAAAAATTCCAATTCTGGATTTTTGGATGCATCTGGCCAATGAAAGACCTAGACCTAACAAAATGACCCACCCACAGCCTGGACCTACAATAGAGTCCAGCCCTCTTACCAAATCCCTTAATCGTCTAAGGATCACCCATCAAAGTCCGTGTGAGCTTGAGAATTGTTTGTTTTGACAAGAAATATGGCACCCACTGAGACAGGAAACTATTACCATAAAATAATGAATTTTTATTCTAGAAATTATACGAAAGACCTCATGCTAAACTATTTTGACTACATGTCCCAGGAGGTTTGGAGATTTAAACAACCAGCGAAATGTGCACACTGTGTTAAGTATGATTTTACGATATTTGTGGATCATCAATCATTTAAAGCTAATATTTCAACACAGAATGAAGTCGTAAATATGTGCGCTTTAACCTTGGCCGATCTGAAACATCAATTATTATTTAAATTTATTTGTCAAAAGGTACTTTATAACATTACACCTAACAGAGCGAAATCAAAATTAGGTCGATCGCTTGAACTTCAACACCATTAAGATTTTTACGAATCGCTCTTTTGTTGACTGAATACATTTCTGTGCTTGTTTTAGCGATATCGGGTAAGATATACAGGAGATCTCCGGAAGAAATTCATATTTATCAAATCTTGGTGTAGCAAATGAGCTTTACACTGCCGACACCTCCAAAAAATTAGCGGGAGAAATATTCCGGTTACATGTACCTTACAAAGCCGGTCCTTAACGATGATGACGGTTTGTCAAACGGTAGTTTTAGTAGGACTCACCAGCTCTACAGATGTAACGCAAGCTAAATCCACACGCAGTCTGATATCTTTCGAAGTCCTCGGAGGATTTTCAGTTATGTAAAGCATTTCGTCGCCGAGAACAGCGAACTGAAAAGTCTTCTTAAAACCATCTGCAACAACAACGCATGGTTCGATCACTCGAATACCTTCATAGCGATCTTGCGGCAGTACACGCTTCAAAAAGCTGTAAACTTTCTGGTGTCTCTGAGCTCCTTCTTCTAAAGTGGATCCTGCCATCGAAATCGCTTAAATGATACTAATATTGGCGGAGAAAAAGGCCACGGTTGACACCGCAAGCCCCTCCATAACTTTGCTGTTACGCGCGAGTTGTTTCTGTTTTGTTCACGAAGGCATTTACGTCACCCAAAAATTAACCAATGGGAAGATAGCTTTGTCAAAGTAACGCGTGCAAGATCTCGCGCGCGCTTTCTTCAAAGTAATCGATTCAAGGGTTTTGTTTACGTTATTCAAATGTGCTTTGGAACTAACCAGAAAAATATTAACGGACAGGGGGTGAAAAAACTGATCTTGTAGTGAAAACGTGAAATTAAATAAATCCAAGTAGACAGTCTGTTGAACGCTGAAGTGTTAACCCACATTTATTCCACATGAAAAGTTTCTTAACGTTGGACTTGGCACTGTTGATGCAAACATATATATATATATATATATATATATTTTTTTTTTTCGCTTTTCCGTTTTCTCAACGGGTTCCTTTGTTCAAATGTTGATAGCTAGAATTTTCGAGAAATTTTAGGGCGGATTTCTTTCATTGTCTACGACTTAACAAGAACACCTGTCTAGAAAATTTTTAATGGCGTGTTACTCAAAATGTTATCCTCTGAAAGAGTGATCAACACGTTTTCAGTGCTTAGGTAAAACGTGAACATTAATTGAAGACTACACTTAATCCAGAAATCCTACACGTGTAAGAGGAACGCGTCGCAAGTGTACTGTAAATGGACTTTTCCGCAAAAATTAAGTGCACGAGGGAATCTTGAATCATAATTTATCATATGAATTAGAATTTAAAATATCGTTCCAGGGATAGCGGACGAAAATAAATTCACTGACGTTAATAAATGTGCCCCCGAGGCTGATAAAGCCATTTTTTAACAAACATGTTTTTCTCTTGTTATTTTCGTTGCCAAGATTCAATCAGTGATATCAGTTATATTTTTGGCAAAACGGTTTTGGATGCATTTTGGTAAGTTACGATGCTCTAAGTTAATCAAAGTAGCCGAAACAAAATGCATTTGCTTTCGCTCATTAAACGTCTGGGAGGAAAAAAAAAAAAAGGCAGTGATACACTAAACCTGCATTTATTATGAGGAGTTTTCCACGAAGTTTTACTTGGCAATGTAGGGGAAAAACTATTATTTTTCTTTTGGTTTATTTTTTCCTTTCCTTCTCTCGCTTCTGTATTGTTTCGACGAGTTACCTTGTCCAAGGGCGGGTTTTTTTCATCGCCAGTAACTTCACAACAATACCAGTTTAGGAAATGGCATAGGCAATGCATAGAGTCGCAATGGGGTGACGTTTTTTACGACTAAAAGTTTAAATGTTGGCAATTTTACGGCTACCGGTTAGTTTATTTCCGTAACGTTTGACAGAAATTTTTCTAAGGTTATTATTTTTTTTTAAGAATACCGTTCAGAAATTGTCCACTGATTTTTATGCCTTACGGCTAAGTATTTCCTTTTTTTTTCGTTTTACGGCCAAAGGTTGAAGCAGGAAAATATAAGTAGTTTATGTTCTCTCATTGGGTTGAAATGATTCCTAAGGAAAAAAAAAATCATGGATATATATCCATCGATTTTTTTTAAAGTACCCTACCACTGTCTGTTTCGAAACCAGATTAAGAAAGAGAGGTCAAACTGCTTGGTAAAGAGATATGATGGGCCAATCTTAATTAACCCTTACATGCCTTGGCCTGTACTGGAGCTAATCACGCGCTACATTTCATGGGTTCACGTGCACAATACATTTTGAGGTAGCTGGAAGAGAGGGTTTTCAAATCAAAACTTAAAAAGAAAATAAAATGCCGCGGTGGATGTCTGGGTTCTAAGAATTGATTACAGACAGGTTAGTTCTGAGAAAAGCTTGACCTGTAACACCAAATTAATTGCGAAACTCAGACAAGATTTTAGATAAAAAATTTCACGAAAGACCACTAGTGTCGTCAGAATGAACCTGCGACGTGGATTTCTGTGCGTAAAGAAAGATTAATTGGACGTCAAGAGGGCGCTCGGAAAAAGTGAGAGGATCCTCGCTCGCTATTTTAAGGGGATTAATTGGCCGGAAAAATTTCATGGAGTTGACCGAGACGTAGTTTGTGGGGTAAGAGCGATTTGGCGTCGCGAGTTTGCCATATCGGTAGAATCCGGGCGCCAGCATTAAGCCAGATTGGTTCGCTAGTTTTTTCACGATAATCCGGGGCATTTCGGTCAGGTGTCAAGCTTCAAAGAGTTTTCTACCGAAGAGAAATTTCTGTAAAATCTTGATTTTGTACAGAGTTTTAGATACTGAGAGAAACTGGTACGATAAAGAAGCGGTTCCAGAGGGGAGATACGAAAATCTTCCCATGTCGATGACGAGGGAAAGAAACGAGTTATTTTCGTTGTGGCGAGCGATTGACATATTGCAAAGGAACCCAACTAAAAGAATTGGACTTGAATTTAAATCCCAACTTTCATGTGACTTTTGATTCTTGATTTTAGAGAAGATATTGAGAGCGAAGAGTGAACAACTACCTTACAAAGACCACGGGACAATCCTTCGTTTTACAATGGAGCACTTGCTAATGACATTTTGCATATGCGTGATTTGAAAGAAGTCAATGGGAGGGTAACTGACAGCGATGTAAGAAATTTTACGTCGAACGTCAGAAAATCGTACCATACCCTCAAACATTGTAGTGATCCCAACCCCGTGGCCCGTGATTGATTACCTGATAGTTTCTTGTTATGTATGCGAAGGGAAGAAGCTGACCTGTCTGCTTAAACTCAGAGATGTAATTCTGAGAAGACAAAGAATTGGGCATCGGCGAGTTCGTCCTATCGTTGCATCTTCCGAATGAAGATTCAAACCATCCGTCAGCTTCAAGAAAAGTTGGCACGTTTATTCAAGATATAGCCCACCATCTTGCTTACGTGTCGAGCTTGTAACGTGATCAGCAACATCTAAGTCATTCTTTTACCTTCACTGCTACATCGGAAGGTTTTCATCAAACTTTACACTCCGTGGGCGTCAAAAGTTATGTACAGAATACTACTGAAATAATTGAACACACTGGATTATGGATTCACATTTTCCTTGCTCTTTGAAACTTTTAATGAATTTTTGTTTCTTTTTCAATAATGAATATACTATCATAATAATTGTTCATCTCTTTTTTTTTGCCCTTTTTCACAAACTAGAATCTAAAGATTGCAATAGACGGATTCTTTCCCGCGAATCGAATCAGAAAGAAATCCAAGTAGCAGCTTTCTCAGCCAACACTGCGTGATTTACATAAATGAAACAATCACGTCGCAAGCATTATTCAGTTTAATTGCACTTTGACTTACAGATTCGTGCAACTCTGCACTTATATATCAGCATTACTCGCTTATAACAGTAAAGTGAACTGAAGGACGCGCCATTGGGGAAGAAAATAGGCAACAAAAAAGAAAAAAAAAATGATAGTGTTGTCCATCTGAGCTCGTGTCGAGGATTGGCCACGTCCCAATGCGAGGGAAGCATACGGCAGAACACAATTGAGAATTTCTAGGGACACCATTGACTTATCCATTTCTGTATTACTGTTCTACAAATCTAATTTTCGGCAGGTTTATCAAATTCTGTCCGTTGCCAGTGAAAGGTCTAAAAGACACCTCGTGAAAGGTGAAATAACATAATTTACTCCAGTTTCACCTGCAATTTCCTGGGATGAATTTCCTCAAAGTTCAGGTCGATCGATATTTTTTTTAAATAAAATCGAATGCTCAATTTTGAATAAGCTTTTGTCAGAACGTCTTACTCGACAGTCCTTTATCATAAAGTCAATAAACTGTTCTCAAGAAGAAGATATGATTCATCCATAAGCTGAAACGAAAAACAAAAGGACCTCTAGGAATATTGAGAAAACCGATAGCTGGCAGAAGCCATGACGCCATGACGGCCTAAGATTACAGTCACAACAACAACGGCCGTGCCTTCAGAATAAACCAACGCGCACACAATTTCTGTTTTGATAAATGTGAAGTACATATATCAAGGTTTACTGTAATATATATTTTTTATTTTTTTTTATATTTTTTTTTCCGCGCTATATTTCATGGGTTCACAATGCTTACGAGTTGGGTTACCACTTCACCGGGTGAGACACATTTGAATCAAATTTTCGTCATAATTTGTTTGGCTAAAAATCTCTCAATTTCTTACAGCATCTGACAACGAACAAAATAACAAATAATAAGAATAATAATAAGAAAAAAATAAGTAAAAAGAATCTCTCGCTAAATTATTGGGGAACAAGCCGACAGATAAACGCTCAACTAAACTCAAAATTATCATGGCGAAGTTTATTTATACAGTGACAAAGATATGGATGACGAAGCTTATAACTTCCCAGGAGTTTGTCGGATACTGTGATAATCTCTTGGTTATGAAGGCTTGGATTTATCAGAGATCTGTTGGACAATTAATAAAAAAAAAACAGACAAATTATACGATTATTCAAATTTGTGCTAAAACTATAATTTATTTTTTAAGTAACCCTCTACGTTTTTCCTTCCTGTGTCACCTCTCTTTTCTTTTTTTTTTATTTCTAAGTGATAATGTAAAAACGCTATTCTGCCTTACTGCCTCAATAAAACTGACCAGCAACAAGAATTAACAGGTACAATAACGAATTTAACACATACTGCAAGATAATAAGAAATATTGCATTGTAAAGAGACAAACAAATATAAATACAGCACATCACGTTAAAGAGAATAAGAATGAAAAGCGAAAAAAAAAAAGGAGGATACCGTATATTTGTCCCATTTCTTTTCTGGATCATACGGCTCCCATCTGCTGGCAGGGAAAATATGTTTATTCCTCTCGTACCATGAACGGAGAACAACTTTCCCAGCATGTGACTGTAAAGAGGAAAAATAAATAGAATAAAATGGAAATCAGAGACAGGGGCGTCCCTACATGTGCGATCGGGTTTGTCAGAAAAACTCTCTGATTGTGAAGAAACCCACACTTGCGATCACATACGTCTGCCATATGTCAACAACGCGGACTTCAAGACGTGTATAGTTTGAATTTATATTTGCATCCCCTTCTCTGCGATAGCCTTCGTCAGCTGGTCCGCGTTTCTCTACCAAAGGCCTCGGTGAGAGAGCGATTGATCACGGACTACGAAAGCGCTCAAAATCACACTGAAAAAGTAATCCAAACTCACACGCATCCATCCTGAATCAGACAGTGATGTGCAAATAACTCACCTCGTCTTTCTCCACGGATGCGTCGCTAATCACTCGGACATCTTCATGGACATCAAAACTAAATAACGGTCCGCTTTTACCGCGAGCCTTGTTCACAATGAAATCATAGAAAGAGTAATGCTGCAATATGAAAATACAAGAAGGTTAGGTTTTCGAGTTGCCGGAGAACCATTTTCTGTTGCACGTAACCCTCCAGAAGTTTGTCAGATCTCCAAATTCACTGCTATCCACTTACACTCCTAATTGGGGAGATCATGAACAGGAAATGGTCTTAACCCCTTGACCACTAAGAGTGACTAGCACCTAATTTATCCCTGAATCACAAGTTAAGGGCAAGAAAATACATGAAAAGATAAACAGTAGAGAAACTCTTGCTTGTTAAACAAATTCTGCTTGTCAGTACCTCAGGAAATGTATAGAGAACTTGCTTACTGATGTTAGGATGTAAAGATGTAATAAAATTTACACATCACTGCAATTTATAATTCCGTAGAAATGACTTTCCGAAGTTATTCCGTTTAAAAAGCTCTCCTTCAGCATAGCTTAATATTCAGTTATCTTAAATTTTTTTTTTTTGGATCCGCTTTTTACTATGTGAATCTTTTCCACGAATGTTACTCACATGAGGTATAATAAGATCTTCCTTAATGTACATTAAGTTTTCAGTAGTCACAGCCCTGTAAAAAGGGAAAAAAAAATAAAGGCTATGATAGGTAAGTTTCACAAAAGTCCACGCTGTGACTGTTTTGGCTGCCATGGTAAGAAGAAATAAAAAACAAGGAAAAACCACCAAAAAAAAAAAAAATTGCTGTGAGAATCGCCAACTTGGTGACCTCTGATGGTCAAAGAGGGACAAAAATTTTTCTACATCGTTCTGGAGTTTTGTACAAAATATCCTTTATCCTTCCTTCCTTTCCTTGTTTTTGGTTTTTTTGCTTTTTTTTGTTGTTGTTGTAGTTGTTTTTTGTTTCCTTTCAACTAGAACTTTATGGCTGGCGACAATTTATAGGGGTTTCAATACTCTTGTTTTATAGGCGGCTGCCGATGGTGTAATAGCCGGCTGTTTCTGGAAAAGGCGTCGTAAAGCGATACCCAAAGAAAAAAAAGCTCCTGAACAGACGGCGGTAAGAGGTATTTTGGGTGGCAGCAGACTGCTTGTAACCAGCTTTTCCTGAAACCTCTGCATTTCTATGATTCTATGTCGCCAAATAGTGTCTTTGAAAAAAATTAGCTTGGAGCCCTGAAGGACTGCAAACTTGACCTTTTAACTGCCAAGACCTAATTGTTAATTCTCCCATCCAGCTGCTACACGTTTCCTTGTAAATCAGTTATGAGAAATTGGTTTTAGATCAAGACAACAATTACTCCTACCTGATAAGTATTCTCATTACATGTTTGCTGGGTAATGTAAGGGTATTTTTGGGAGAAGTTTCATGTTAACCCAACTAGTTTAGCCTTCAAGTTATTTTGGGTGTTCCACTACTGTATGTACTGTTTATTTATTTATTTATAATCATATTCTTGTAAATTCTTTTAGTTGTTTACAGTAGTAGAAATAAACTGTTGTTGTCGTTGTTAATCACTAGTGGGAGTTTAAGGGTTAGGAGAGAGTACACTCCTCACTAATTATGAAAAAAAGAAAAGGACTCAGTGTTTGTCGAGTAATAAGCTGTGAATCCCAAATGGTGATCCATGCTTTCCAAGTTTCATAGACTTACCTAAACTCAGTAAAATCTTTGCGCAATTGTTCGACGCATTTTTGAAGGAACTGAGAGATTGTGTTGCCTTTCTTCATCTGTGATGGAAACAAAGAGAGAGTTATTTTATTTATTTATTTTTTAACATATTCATATTCCTATCTGGAGTTCAGTTCATTTGAACCTCACCTTTATTGTTCTCCTATGACCAGATCCATCCCAGTAACTGTAAGTGATTTCCACGTCTTCATCTAAAATGACAAAAGCAAAAATTTTATAAACATGAATGGAGATTTGGCGAAAATCCAAACATAAAACTAGGAATTTTTTTAAAAATTTTTTTTTGCAGCCATTATCTTCCCTTTTTAGACACAAGGTTATGAGTCAATTCTCATGGACTGAGAACAATGGTAGCTACATGTATTCCCAGAATGCTTAACACCTAACGATAAACTAGCACTCGTCAGTATTTTACATGATTTTTTATCTGTTTTCTGACACATCTGTACAAAAGTTATTCTTGACCAGATGCACTAGACAGACTGTCAATCAGAAAGAAATTAGACTAGAATTTTAAAATCTTGAATACACAGTGCAGACATGTGTAGAAACAGACCTCCCTTTCTGTCCACAACTAAATATATCTTTTGTCAAATCACTATAACTCATTTACTAAAAAAACCCAATCATCCTTCCCATAACATGTGCACATGAATGCCAGTGTATTTGACAATTTACAGGCAAGAGTGACATTTTAGGAGTGTTCTTAACCCTTCAACTCCAAAGATCTGATTATTAATGCTTCCCTGTGGCTGCTACACATTTCCTTGTAAATCAGTTATGAGAATTCATTATTAGATCAAGATAACCACTTCTACCTTATAAGTTGGAGTTTTCTCAATACCTGTTTGCAGGATAATGTGTGGATATTATAGGGAGAAAATCCATGTTAATCACTTCTGGGAGTTAAAGGGTTAACTGCACAAGCTGGTTTGTTGAGTATATAAAATCATAAGATAAACTTAGGTAATAACATGATTTTGAGTGCAATTTGATGCAAATAAGCACAAGCAAATTTTTCAAAGACAACAAAATTGCTCAAGCCCTAAGGAAGAGTGCAATTTGCAGTCTTTGAAAATTTATAAGCGCCTATCACACCAAATTGAGAGAGAAATCAAGTTATTACTTGTTAATAATGTCCATGAAAAACATTGCAGAAAATCAAGACAGACAAAATTTTTTAAAGCATGTGTACCGTATTTGTAACTTACAATTGTGCTACAACTTTGCACTCATGTTACATGAGAATGCACTCATTTTCAGCCAATCAGAAGTGTGTAATTTTTTCATGTCCATTATCAGCTAAATTATAAAAGAATTTTGATTGGTTCTTACTAATCATTCATTGGAGGACAAACACATAGATGACTTTGCTTTACCATATAAAACAAATAGGTTTCACATTGCCTTAGGTCTGTACAGTAATACAAAATGTAGATCACAGAAGACAAAAATATATGGTAAGAGCATTAGTGACTTGTGTGTCCCTTTTTTTGTTCTCACCACATTTTTACATTTTTTGTTATCTTTTACTGAACAGAGGCACAACAACATGGAATATATTTGTTAAATGTTACTTTGCAAAAAACAAAACAAAACAGAACAAAAAAAAATCTCTTTTTTAGTTCTCACTCTTAATCTTCTCTTGTTTTTCTACCCATTCTTGTCTGATCTTTTCCCTCTCTAATCTTTCCATCTCCTGTCTCAAAAGAATTCCCAAAATTTATTTATTAATTACACAATGCAGTGTCCATTTGTAACCAACATTATACATTCTACATAATGTGTTATTTTCCAGTGGTGGTAAGAAGCAAGATGAATGGTACATGTTTTCCTCACACATCTGTACCTCAGGGCCTGAAAATGGGTTATGTGACCTTGGGCAGGCAGTTGTTTTTGCTCCATCTGCTACTACTAACTCCTTGTTCACATATTAACGTACCTCTCTATCCCTGTCTGGCAAAAATGACGTGTCCACATCAGGATTTTTCCCAAGCTTTTTCTTTTTCAGTGGGACAACTGTTTGAAAAATATTAGAATTCACACATCCTTACATTCAAGGTTACCAGTAATATGAAATTTATATATGTGAAATGCAGCATAGGAAATGGAATCTGATATGAAAGCGATCTTCACAGTAATGAACACTTCTTAAGCAGCAGTGAAAATATGGCTTAAAGAAAAAAAAAAATTCAGGCCTGTATGGGATTAGAACCCACAACCACTGAGATACCGGTGCAGTGCTCTACCAACTATACTAACAAGCCAACCAGGAGCAGGTCATCATGATAATATTATTGCAGTCACAGAAAGTTTGTTAGCATCTTTCATCACGAAGAGGCCAAGACAAGATGAATGACAGCTCGCATTCTTGACCATACAAAAACACCACTGAGACGGCAGTAAATAAATTAGTACTCTTAAAATTTCACTTTTCCCTGACTTTTTTCAAAGATGTAAATTTTCCCTGACTCAAAGTGAAATTCCCTGACTTTTCCCTGACCTTGAAGAATTTTTTTTTCCCTGACTATTTCCTGACCTGTGGCAACCATGCTCTTGCATTCTGTACAGTTTCTGACAGCTTTTTTTCTACTTCAAGCTGGATTGTCATTTCCATTCTTATCTGCTATGCATTGCCTTGTAAATTAGTCTAGAGAATTTGGTGTTAAGTCAAGATAACAACTTCTAAGCTTAACCCTTTAACTCCCAAGATCTCATTAGTAATTCTCCTTACTGTCTGCCATACAGTTCTTGTGATGTTAGTTTTGAGAATTTGGTATTGGATCAACTAAAAATGCTCTAATTGATATTTTTCTTTTTCTCATTACTTGTCTGCTTGATATTGTATTGGTATCGTAAGGAGAAATTCTGTCTTGGTCACTTATGGGAGTTCAAGGGCTAATAGGCCATTTTACAGTTGAGTTCTCAGCTGCCAAGCCTTTGATTTAGAGTGCAGCTGAAGGTGACCTGGTTGTGATAGAGACCAGTATCTAGTCAGCATGATAACAAAGTAATTTGCATTTGAAAAGCAGCAAGGTTTGTATCCTAAAAAGGTCAACCTTAACCTCACTCCTGTTCAAAGGCTTGGCAACCAAGCACACAGCTGCAAAATGGACTATTATTCTCATTACCTGTATGCTGGATTATGCATGGATATTCTTAGGAGAAGTTACATTTTCATCACTTATAGGATTTAAGGCCCAAAAGACAATACAACATATGGGATCAGGAATTGAATTCTGACCTCAAAAACCAGAATTGCAAATTTTCCTCCATGTTTAGCCAAGTTAAGTGAGCCACAATTTGTACAACATAAATTTAGAATAAAGAAATTGAATAATACCTGGTTGATCATCACTGTCTTCACCTCCTTCATCCTCATCAAGGTTAAATGACAACGCGGAGGTTTGTTTCAGTTTTATTTTTTTCTGTTTCTTTTTCGAGGATTCACTGCATAGAGGGGGAAACAATGATCGAATTCATTTGTAGGAAAGAAAATTAAACAATTGCATATCTGATGCATTTCCAGAGAATTTCAAAGTTTAGTTGATAGATAACTGAATTTAAAGTCTGCACTTTACTGCAACTTACAGACCAATTTTTTTTTTTTTTCATCAGGTTTGAAAGATCTCATAATACACTTTTTTTTCATTTTTTATAAATCCAAATACATTTATAAATGTATCACATTCAAGAAATTTTGGCAAATTTCATTATCAAGTTATACCCTTAATAAATAATCACATCATTAATGACCAATCAATGAGTTGATAAATTATTTACAATAAATGATGAAAGTACATGAATTGCATTTGAACAAACCTTTCAGTTTCATCTGATTTAAGCTTTGCAGCCAGCTGCTTTTCATGTTCTCGAACAAGATCCTCTTGCTTGGCTCTCATTTGATCCAGGGTCACCAATCCTTAAAAATAAAAATAATAATAATAATTAAAAAAAAAACAAAACATCTATTTACCCCTTAACAATTTAACTCCCAGATCAAATTTGCAATTCTCCTTACTGTCAACCATACAATTCTTATAATGTTAGTTCAGAGAATTAAGTATTGGATCAACTAGTTATCCCCATATTGTTAGTTTTCTTTATTCTCATCACTTGTCTGGTTGATATTGTATCGATAGTGTAAGGAGAAATTATGTCTTTGTCACTCATGAGAGTTAAAGGGTTAACCCTAAGAGTGACTAGCATCTAATTTCTTCTAACAATATCACTTCTGAATCAAACATCAAAGTCACTACAAAAAAGGAAATGATCACCAATGAAGCTGATTGATTAACAAGTTCTCCTTGTCAGCACCTTAGGAAATGTATTAAAAACAGTATGGAGAATATGCATACTGATGTTAAGGTGTAAAGGCTTATGGATAAGCTAAGTGATTGCATCATTTGTTGCCGAGTGTTATAGTTTACTGTACTCTGCATTAAAACAATAACGTTTTTCACACTCAGAAGTTTCTAAAACAGTTGTTTGAAAAAATATCATGTTTTCAGTGATGGATGCCTTCCTAATGTGTCATTGGTCTGCTTCTGCTTAAAAGGTAAAAAAAGAAAAATTGAGATGGTGGCTTTTGTTACTGTGATAAGGTGACCTTTACAGTTGAACTGCAGTTATGGATAAAGAAATTAGAGCCTCCATAACTCATTTCTGATTCTAGTCTTCATAAATATAAATGTAATAGTCATAAATACTGCAATCTAATTAGCTATACTTCGTGTTATTGTGCTGAGTGCCCGTGAGCAGCAAAACAACCAAAATTAAAAGCAAAAATAAGCTTGTCTAGCAATGAAATTTTAAGCGACTACTACATTCATAATTTTTGGCCAATATTAGCTCATTAGTGCTCGATTCTGTGTGAAAAATCTGGAGCTCTCAATCTAATTGTTTAATAACCCGTCAACCACAGGCTAACACAGGTCCAACCAAATCAGGTACTGAAATGATTTTCACGTACCGATAGTGCTTGATTTTAGTTGCTGCTCTACCACATCATAATGAGTAGAAAATTTGTTGCTGATGTCGGCGATCTTGTGTTTCTACGATAAAAAACCAACAACCTTAACATTACCACACGTTTTCTTTTACAGATTTATGATTCAAAGATCGGTGGGTCAGGAAGTAAATTTTCCTTGAGCAAATGACACGATGATTACCTCAGATATCTTGTTTTTCGCGGCTTCAATGTCGGCTTTCATTTTTTCTCGCCTTTTCATCAGGGCCATGGCCCTTGCACCTTCCTTTGCAGCACCCTTGTATTCCGCCATTTTGCTTTACTTCCCTAGACAAGACTAGTGCCAGATTTCCGCTGAAGTTTATCATATCAATTGGAGGGGCGACCGCTGTAACGAAGCACAACTTGAGCTTTTTTACCAGGCCCCCGTTGAATAACGCAATCGTTAATTGAATAAATAATTGCTATCCGATGGACAGCGTATTAATTATTTATCCCTTGAAGAGCGATTTTCCCGTTGGATAGCGTTATCCGCCCTGTGAACAACTGGGCATAGAGGGCGAAATTCTTGGTTTCAGATTTTACACTGTGTTATTTTAAACTCGTCATCATTATCTCTTATGCCGTACTTTCTTGACGATGAATATACGCTGAATCCTGGCTTACCAAGTTTTATTTTTTTTTTATTTATTTATTTATTTATTTTTTATCCACACATAAATCATTTATCTCGAAAAGAATACTTAAAGGATACCTCGCACGGGTTTAAAAAACGAACACAATTTGGAGCACAGTCCGATTAAAAAAAAAAAAATGGCACTTTAACTAGTATAACGATTATCATTTAACTGACAACACAATTACTCGGCACCAGTCCCTCTGTTGTCACTCGGCAACTTTACTCTGCTGAAAAGTATTTCATTTGGGACGACCTACCGGTTGGTTGGATGTTTTTCAGCAAATACATTTACCATGGTCACGAGAGAAAAAGCATCCGTGACAAAATTGATTAAAAAACGGCACCTTTCAAATGTTTTAAAGTAGCTCCGCTGATAACTTTGCAAGCTTCTCTTGCAACTTATAAAAGAAAGCTGGCAGGGATATAACCGAGTGATTCAAAGTGAAAATTTAGAACATTCCGTATTCTTCATGGCGATATGAAACCAAGATGCAAAGTATTGGAAATGCTAATTGACGGATTTGTTGGATTCGAAATTTGGAGAGCATTTTTCTTTGTATTTTCTTTTGTCATTCGTTTATTAAAGAAAAAAAATGTACACCCCCAACTGTAAAAATTAAACGAATTTCCCCCAATGAGAATAATATGCGCCAAGCAACAACAACCTATTACGCATCCAAGATCGAATTTTAACATCTTACTCAGCTACGCAGTTTAAAGCTATAAAGAAAAAAAAAATAAATAAAAACTGGTGAAAGTTACTTCCGATTTTATCCCGAAACAAGAATACGGCTTTTCATCAATTTCTTTGATAGGTTTTTATTTTATCAGGACTTAGTATTATTTGTTTATTCAACCTCACTCAAACTCACTCTTGGTTATAAAACGCTATTTAAAATTTCTTACAAATTAATCATATGAAAAACTCCATTTTTTTTTTCTCTTTTCATCGATAACATCAACCTTAGAATGTATAAACTCCTTTGTCCAACTCTACTTCGCAAAAGGTAGGCATGCATTTTGCTTTTGTTTTGAAGAAACCAAATCAATAGGGTTCTAAATTGCTTTCATTATCTAAGCATGAAGCCCTAATAAACAATTTAAATATTAGTATTCTAGAAACAGTGTCTACATCCGAATAAGGGAACATTACACGTATAAACTAATTATGGATTTCTAATTCTTATTGGAGCTCAAAGATCTTTTCATTCACTTTCTCTCGAAGTCTTGGGTGACGAACAAGTTGGCTCCAATCAGGTACAAAACTACTCTTTTCAGACTGTTTCATCTCTTTTTATGTTCCCCTTTGATTTTAGAAACTCGCGTGTCAACACAGCCGTCCAATTGCCCGTGGCGTTCTGAATTCCACGCATCGTTAGGGAATAGGCTTTCCTTTCAGAGAGACTTTTTTTTTCTTTTTTTGCTTTTGTTTTTTGCTTTTTTTGTTTTTGTTTTTTTGGGGAAAAACTGCCAAAACAAGTAAGGGAATGCCAGTTAATTGTTTTCAGCTCTAGGTAAATTTTGAATTCGATGAGCCCTGTCTACTAATCTTTTAAGTACGCATGTGTGCTCAAAGATATGTTCAACTTGTTTACTTTCGACATTCATTCACCATCAGGTTTTCCTAGGAAAATGGGTAAGAAATAAGTCGAGGGAAAAAGATAAGAAAAAACGTTGATTTTATGTTCATCCTTTTAATTTTACAGTTTTACGAAAAATCTACAGCATGGCTTGTGCGAAGGGGCTGATCATTACCCTCCTCGGTTTCTACATGTTTACTGCCATTCTTGGCAAACAGGTAACTGCTTTAGAAAGTTAAGGCATATGAATATTACTGCTTTTCCTTTACTACTCAACTAATCCGGAAGAAAAGTAACAAGATACCCTGCTTACGGCCACTGCTAATGTAAAACAGTTTCATATAAGCTGAAAACGGAAAGCAAGAGGTTTATTTTTTTCCGGTACACGCCAAAAACTTCTCGTTTTTCGCTTTCAACCGTTTACACTTTTTGGTAAAATATTCTTACAAAGAACCGGCCTTTATTTGTCGCCTACGGCGGCGGGGGTGGATGGGGGGGATTTTGTTGGGGTCACATGGGTCTCAGGGGGAATGGAGGGGGATCAGTTATTGCTATGGGGGAGTACGGAAAATTGAAAACACTACAGATTCTTATTGGGGGCATCAGGTAAATGTGACACAACCAAAATCCTCAAACACCCCCACAAGGTAAAATATTCGTTTAATCTGTGTTCATTGTTTTGTTTGTTTGTTTGTTGCTGTTGTTTTTTTGTTTGTTTGTTTGTTTGTCTTTGGTGATTAAAGGTTTTAGGAAAAAAAGTCAGTAATAATCAAAATTCCCCCCAATCATTTTTTCCTCCACATCAGAAGTATTTTTGTTTGTAAAACCTTCTCAAGCAAGGTGCTATCGTGGCAACAAATTTAATTAACAGCCTCAATGGCAGTGCATTAAAACTGGAGCAAAACTCATAGAAGCAAAGATCTATAACAGGAGTCACGGTGTCACACTATGCTGTTAGTGTGACATGTAGAGTGACCGATTCATTGCCTAATGGTGGACTTTGACGAAAAGATTATGCATAAGATTGAGTGACTTATAAACTATTGATTTGTTTTTCAGTCTTGTGTGAGTCCCGATGGCCAGGAAGCGTGGGATAAAAATACGAAGCTATACACTTCCGATTGCAGTAAGGAGTGTACTTGTGTTGGTGAAGGCGAATACTTCTGTGAAGACCTTTGTCCCGTGCAGATTGCCCATTGCAATGTTGGTTACGTTGCGAGGTTCAAAACGATAAAAATTTCAAAAAGAGGAAGAGAATGCCGATGCGATGGTAAGAGGTTGAGCTGAATTAGCAGTAATCTGCAATAGTACTTTAAAAACAAGTCATCATGTTGAGCACTTTTGTAATTCCCTTTCATCATCTTCTTGCAAAGATATTTTTGCCCCGACCTTTCTTAATTTTTTTTTTTTTCAACGAGGATGCGAGCAGAAGAGAGAATATAATTATTTTTGGCGCGCCTTAATGATAATCAACCAAATGACAAAAATTTGGTTTCGTACTTCCAACTTCCTTAGGGACGACTCCTTATTAGTCGCCTGGTGAGAGGGAGGAGGGCTCTGGTATAATTTTTTTGGGGTGGGGGATCACATGCTTTTCAGGGGAAACTGAGGAGGAACAGTCGTCGCCAATAGAGCATACAAAAGTAGGTCCGTAGAAAATTGACTGCTCATTACCTGCCAAAGAGGGGGGTTATTAGAATATCGAAGTGCCTCATTTGGGGTATCATGTAATTATTATCATTGAACAAAACAACATCTCAGTTGTTTCGTCGAATATCTCTTGATCATAATCCTGCTTGTTTTGATTTTGTTTTATTTTATTTTATTTTTTACAATTAAAAGAACGCAAGAACTGTATTATATATTGGACTTTTGTTTTTCTATTTTCAGAGTTTGATAAATGCGTCAAAAACAGGATGTGACCACGGTAACAGAACGAAGGTGCTAGCCCTAGGTTCTTCTGAGCGAAAAATACAATTGTAGTCATTAATCAGGGTAAAAGTATTAGTACTTGTTGAAAGTATTAAAGGGTGTTTCAAATGTTATAGTGTCTCGTGGTGTTTGTCACACAAATTTCCTCTTATTATGAAAATTATTTCAGGAAATGAGATAAACAATGGCTAATTAAAATTACACCTAAATGTTTTATAATTGATTCATTTTTCTCGACAAAGAGCCATAAATACAGTACGAACCGGCTAACTTGCGCCCGGTCGACTTACCCCCCCCCCCCCCCTTAACTCGAACTGGATCCAATTTTCCTCGGACTTCGTTTTCCCAGTCATATAATTATTATTAACTTACTCGAACACGGAAACTTGGTTAACTCCAAATCCACGTTAACTCGAATTAATTTTACTTTCCCTTGACTCAGATTAACCCTGGCTTCTCTATCTTGAACCAAAATCATTGGTGGATCAACGTCAAAGTGTCAGAACATAGCTGATTGACACGTCCCAACCTTAAATCGCGATTGATACGAACGTCATATCATCATCTATGGAAACGTAATAAATTTAGCCAAACTTCCTTAAATTAACGTTCTAAAAAACAAAAAAAAAAAAACAAAACAAAAAAAAACAAAAAAAAAAAAAAAAAAAAAAAAAACAACAACACACAAACAAAAACAAAAAGCTCTTAATAAACAAACCAAATGTACATAATGACAGTTGATTGGGCATAGCTGAAATCCAGCACCAATTCCGATAACTCGAATCCTCAAAAACTCTAATCATTTTCCGTTTCACTTGGGAGTTCGAATTCCTGTGCTCGAATAACTTGATTATAAGTTTACGGCAAAAACGTTCCTTTGCGACCAACAGGGCTAGTTTCCAGTCTATTACGCTCTTAACTTTGTTGGCTGTATGAGCAACACCATATTAAAGAGGTCACCCTGTATAAAGCGGTCGGTTGCTTAAGTCCCGAATTTGTTTTATAATTAATAACGGTTATTTTCTTCTTTATTTAACGGTCACCTGTATTCTATTAGTGGTCGATCATGGCATAAAGTTGCTTAGTGTATCGTTATTTATAATACCTCTAATGTGTGGAAAAAAATGATTTGGCTAA